TGAATGTTTATGTTCCTGTGAACTTATGTGATCCTATGTATATATGATTGTTTGCAAAAACTACATCAAAGTAAGCGTTTGATTGTTCTGAAAACATTCAAGATGGATTTTTGACATTTTGTTGTGTTTTTCAATGGGCACGTGCGCGTCGGGAACAGCATTTTTTTTGTTTTACCCACGAATAAATCAGGCATTCAATGTTCCGGTTTTCTTGGGACAACTGCGTGCGGTAAATCAAGAATTGCTGCTGTTGTTAAAAAAAGACGCATAAACACAATAAAAAATAAACACCTTTGCGGGAAAAAAATATTTTATGGTGCGAATTAACCAGGAGAATTTCAGACCCAACGGTCACAAGCTACAAAAACCACAATGCATGTGTTTTATTTGTTTGGTGTTTGTGTACATGCTTTACAAGAATGTAGCGAACAAGAATTACATGTATGGAACATGGTTCCAATGATGCAACATGCATAGAACCAACTGGAGGAAGCGTTTCATGTTAATGCAATGTCCGCGCAATGGTTGTTGCAAGCAAATAACTTTTGGTTAACATTTGGATACGGGCAATTGTTTGAAATATCATTTGAAATGGATGGATCTGGAGCTTCTTGACGAATTGGCTTTCCAGGCTGTCTGGAGAATCCGCAAATGGTTTTGTCAGGCTTGCAAAAGAAATTAGCTGAAGGCGTGCAATTGTAACCCCAATGTAAGGAAGCCTAGAAAAACCGTGGTAAGAGCCTGTCACGACCTTGAAACCGAAAAAAACCCATTGCGCCACGTCACACGGGCTATGGACAAAGCACCTCAGCAAACCAAATGCCTGAATAGAATGAATAAATTTGCTTCCACAAAAAGTCCCTTCAATTTGCGTCATTCAACGTTTATTCAGTTGGTTCAAGGCAATGGTTTGTAACATCAAAAACCAATGAGTGTGTCTTTATACCCAATTCAAATTTTGATGAATCTTGGCGTTCGCGTAGATGAGGCTAATTTGCCGGATTTTATCAATAGGAGACAGATCGTGAAAAAAAAAAGTTCATTTTGTAGTTTTTTTTTAACGCGTCGATTGGTTCCCCCTTTGCTTTACTGGAAAAATTGAAGCTTTTCTTCTGTCCGGGGGCTCCATTCTGGGAGCCTGGACAGGTATGCGCATATTCCAGGCAAGATTCATAAGAAATTCTCAAGTCATTCTTTGGAAGCCGCCGAGAGCTATTATCAAATAAACAAGGCCAAACGGACAGATATTTGCTTCCAATAATGAATTCTCCTATTGCGAAAGATCAATATTTCAGAATTCTGTTTTGCGTTCCCAATTGACAAATCCATATTTGCTATTCAAAGGCAAAACGAACGCTGAATCAAGTCGGCGTTATTCTTTTGAACATCGGGGCTTTCGCCTCGTTGGCCCCTATGACCTTAACGTAACACGATTGATAAAATCACGGAGCATGGCATGAGAAGTTTCAATTCTTTGCACCCAAAGAAGGCTTGATATAAATATCTGATGAAATAAAACAAATAAGAACGTCTGCCCACCCAAATCAGAAAGAACGCCACCAGAATCGTTAACGATCGCAAGGAGGATAAAGAATACGAAAGAAGAGAGAGGAGAGACAAGGAAGAGAGAGGAGAGGGAATAGAGAGGAAAGGACAGAGGAGAGAGGAGGGTTAGAGGAGGGGGAATAAAGGAGAGGAGAAAGAAAAGAGCAAGAAAGAGAGAGAGGCGAGGAGAGATGAGAGAATAGAGCGGAGAGAGGGCAGGAGAGGAAAATTGAGAGCAGAGAGAAGAGAAGAGATGAAAGAAAAGAGAGGAAGAAGAGAAAAGAACGGTCCAAGACGTATATCTGAGTTTCCTAAATGATTTTTCTAATGATATTATTATCATTGCATGTACGTTATACGTGGTTGCATTCGACTTCCTGATTCCTATATACTTGCTTGCAGAAAATTGGATATTTCTCGAATTATCGAAATCTTTGATATAGGAGAAGATTTTAAAGATTTAAGATTTTAAAAATATAATTCCATTTTCCTCTATATTATTCGATTCCATTTTTTTTCGTTATTTATATCATATATCGATATTTGATATAAGATCTAATCTATGATATTTTGACGCCTGAATATCGTCACGAATAATTCGGATCGATTTCAATTTCTTATTTGAATTTATTTTTCATGAAGATCTCATCAATACGATTTTAATTCGGAGAACGATCAAAATTCTATAATTTATTCAAATCATTTTCTAATCTATTTACCAATGAATTAGAATGATATTGATATCAATAAAGGTTTAGAAAAAAGAAAAATATAAATCTTTGATAAAATAATGATTTGATTTTCTTTTAAATGAAATTCTAGTCATATTTCAATTCATCGTTTTAAAATTCTCAGACCTCTATCCATCTTTCGATCAATCAAGATTTAAATATATCAATCTATGTATCGAATCAATTCTCCAAAAAAATCATTTTAATTTGAATTAAAAATAAATATATTTGAATTGAAAGACTAGAGAGAATCATCCGTATGAAATTTCACTTAAACCTAAATATTAGATTATTCAGGTAGCATCGCCCGGCGATACAAGAAGATATTTTTAAAAGAATACAAATTTTTAAAATCGTATTTCACGGCAGAACAACGAACATTTTATATAAACGGAACGCCTTCAAAAATTCAGACACCAATTTTTTATGATCGTTATTATAAAAATACAAGATTTACCTATCAACGTCAAAATATGCAAAATATCCAAATCATATTCTTTCCCAAAATGAAAAAAACTTCTATCAATTCGTCCTATCCAGCCTCAAGAATACGCAATGCAAATCCTAGCATTTAATGAAAATTTAATAGATCTTATCGTAGTACGCTCTACATATTCGCACAAAATCTAATATTCGAGAAAATTCGAATCTCCTCAAAATTCCTATCAAGATTAATAAAATAATAGAATCATTTAATTCGAAAATATCCTTCAACACCTTCAAATCACGGGTCAGAATCGTCGAAACAACACTATCTTAATCATCTATTTTAAACGACCAAAATCTCCGAATGATCTTTCCGCTTCATTTATTTCTCTTGAGTTGCTATTATACGGCGGTTCAGCGGAGCATATAAATATCCGTAGATTTTTGCAATCATTTTTCAAATTCAGAAAGATTTAGGATCTCTATTGCGGCTCTATACGTATGCAGTAAAATAGAAATGAATCACGTAGACCGCCAATCCGAGGGAGCGAAGACCGTAGAAGACAAATAAAACCAAAGAAATATTTCAAGCTTTTAATATGAAGATCTTTGAACTACATAAGATCTTAGAGTCTCTAGAAAGCCCGCAAAAAATATTTTAGAAGTGAGCCAGAAAAACTAAGCCGCACGCGGTTGAAATAATCCCAAATACCCGCGCCGTAGAAATAAATAAATCTGATCAAAATCCAATAGATAAATAATCTATCTCCTCATCCATTAAAAAATCGATATATCAATTTTCAAAATCCCGACAATTTGAAAATCAAATTCTCAATTTTTTTATTATCAAAATTCTAATTTTCATAATATTCTTATGATTCAAAAAATATCTTAGCTCAAATGATATATTCTCGAAGCATCGAAAAAATATTTTTATATTAAGAATCATTTCATACATTCGATCAAATTTTAGATCTATTCAATTTTTTGCTGGCAAAGCAGCTCCTCCAGCGCAGGACCATGATTCAGCCGCAGCGGCGTTTGTAAAACCGACCTGCACATTTCGAGAGTCTCAATCCAAATGGAGCAACTTGATTTCGTTTCAGCCTTTGGGCATGCGCCAGCCCTCGCACGAATTGGGCAGGCTTTTTGGGCTGTTGAAAATGTACTGATGTTTGGCGGTTTCCTCACAGTATTAAGTTGAAGGTGCTTGTTTGTTGAGATTTGATCCCCAAGAGGTCAGCTACAGCTCATTCTGCTTTTCATCCAATTGCTGGCTGCAGATCAAGGTTGATAAAGGTTTTTGGAATTCGGAGCAAATATTTGCGTAGAAAAGAATGCTTCAGATGGAAATCCTTTGATAGCACCCAAGCAACAACCGTGAAACAGTAATCCAACAACTGCAAACACTTTAACTGCAAACATTCCAATGAGCCTTCCTTCCCCGTTTGACATCGAAAAATTCGGCCTGACATGCAATGCATTTATTGGTCCTCAGCTATCAAACTTGTGTTTCAAGAGCCGCATTGATGTTCATATTCCGTCCTAGGAATAGGGTATATCCAAAATAAGTCGTAGGCCCTGCATACAGGTTTTCGCCTTCGCGCATGTGGAAATGCACAAATTCAAATGCAAACCAGGATTCCAACTGTGTGCCGTTGCGAGGTTTGATTGTTGGCCTCAAGGCTGAAACAGCTGCCTGTCCCTGGGCAAACGGGCCGTGCCTCATCCGAGTTTGCAAGCTTTGCCACTCCACGGGACCAATCTGAGCAGTTGAGCGGAAGACCGTACAGTCCAGATTTGCTCGATGTACTTCAAAACTCATTATGGGTGCGTGTTACTGGCACAGTGCAGAATGCCAGAAAATGTTTTTTCATAGGGAAAAACCAGTGTCATTGATGCGGTAATCCAAATTCAGAAGCTTGTATGTGATCCTTTGACAGGATGGTCGCACTGCACTCCCGGTCTGGTTTCATGAGGCAATCGATGAGGGCTTTGTGGGTTCTTTTTATTCTCAACTTCAATGCCCCACGCATGGTGGCAAGCAGAAAAGTGTCGTGGTGCTCTACTTAGCTGCGCTTGGCCAGACGGGACCGACCCCAGAACTCCATAACCCAATTTCGCAAATGATGATGCTCCTAGGAATCTTTTTGACAACCTGGACCAAAGCATGCAAGAAAACTGAACAAACCCAAGTATCAGAAACTGGGGCATGCCTACCCTGGACGTTGCATCCTGGGTTCTAGCTTAGAAATGTAAATCTCCAAAGTTTTAACGTGTATCAAGCAGAGACCCAGCCTGGCTTTGGTGGCACAATCGGTTCACCTCGAGCAAGATTTGCCACTTGCCACTTGAAAGGTCGATTTTCGTGATGAACATATTCTTGAACGGTCATGATGCAGAACCCTCTGGTGTGCAAGGAACATTGGGTAACACTGTGCTGTTGCTTTGGCTTTGGCTATCATGCAAGGCCTTTTGGGGGCATTCCCGCAACCCAAGAATCCACCTCAAGAGACACTTTGGCCACGCTCGGGTGTACCCAACATGAAGAACCACAAGAGTTCTGACAACTCACTCGTCTATTGCCGGCACCGCTGACATTAAAACTTCAATCAGACACAGAGGCAAGTTGCCTCAACAGCCCATCTCCGGAATTCTGCGAAATGCATTGAGGCATAGTCGGCGTCTGATGCTGCGATGGGCCTGAAAGCTCATGTGTTCAGCATGTGCGGGGCATTCTTCATGTGCTGCTGTGCTTTTACCTCGAACGCAAGCATTTCGCAGAACAGCACCCAAGTAGAGGAAGCTGCATCCACCCTGAACAACACAATCCGCCTTGCTAACTAAAGAGCGAAGCCCTTTCAGCTGCAAAACGTCAAATTCACTCGATGCGCACTCAGCAACCTACAATATCCTCTCAATTACGTTCATGCTTGTATTTCCTTGAAAGCCGAAACTGCAAACTGACAAAGTGAAAGGTCACGCAGCTTGGTCTGTGATGAAAAGCATGGTTCCTGGGACAGAGGCCACGTCTTGGGCTTGCAAAGGAGAAGCCAATCCTCCACCTGCCATGCACTTCGTTCCCAAGCAAAATATCAGCTGTTGAGGTTCCTTGCTTTTAGGACGTATTGTCTTTCAAAAACTGCCTTCGCATCTCCACCCGAGTTTAAGCGTCACGTAAACGAGGATGAAGCCCTATTGAAGTCGGGTCCAGTCTGGAGGTAGCAAGAACATAATTTTTTTTTTGCAAATGTGTCCAACAACCAAAACCAAGGGACGAGGTGCTGCTACGTACTGGCGCAGCGCGAATGCGCACCTCTGGCATGCCAAACTCCGGCACTGTGTGCACCTCCACATCATACCTGCATGTGAGTGAGCACAGGCTCCCTATCTTTCTGGGCGCCAAATTAGGACCCCCCCCCTGCGTTCCTGTGGCCTGGTGTATAGAGGGTTTACAATGTTGATAGGGGCCTAGAACTTACTACCTCTACGCCCCTGCCCCCCCTGTGGTCTGGGTCATGTAGTTTACATTATGTGTATGGCAGGCAGTGTATGGACGGTATGCGAAGGATCTCTTGTGTTCGTAAAAGGTTTGTAACTGGTTCACAGAAGGTTTGGAGAAGTTGTACAAGGGTTCATTTTTTGTTGTACAAGGGTTCATTGTTTATGTAAGGCTTATAGAGGATTAGGCACGCAATGTAGACGTTGTCACAGGTAAAGGCATCGTACCCGAGAACACGCCACCGTTTTCGAAAAACTCCTTTAAGCCGAAATGTCCCCATATAACATGACAAGCATCCTTCGAAGGGCTCGAAAAAAGTCATCACAATCAATCTGTTGTTTTGCTGGGGCATGTGGGATTTCCGCTGCGAGCATGTTAATGTTGGGATTTGGGGGGCAAAGACCTGGGTTGCTGTTAAAGAACTGAAATGAAGTTGCCATAATGAGTGTATAGAGTGATGAATATGACTTCCCCAATATAGTAACTTGAATTACGTTCGTTGACAGCAACCCAGAAACACAAGATCGAAAGTGTCCTATGGTCTTGCAAAGGATCCTAAACCATCGTCTAAGACTCACATCCCGAGCCGAACTGCTTATTCAAGAAAATCCTATTCACTACTAACTCATCCGATGGCCTGTCTTGGACGTCAAGCACGAACATCGGAGCGCCCTGATGCGAGCTGTCAGCCATGAGATCCATGTACAGCCACGTTGACCCAAAAGATGAAAAAATTCTCGTGTCGACTTATGAGCATAATTGCTGTCAAATTCATGAGCCTCTGTAACTCTGGGGCACCCAGCTCTTGAAGGCCCATTCAACGTGGCATGTCTGGTGCAGCAGCCGGGCACGAGTATACCCCAAACAAATAGTAGCCAATTTTGTGACAAAATTCTTTTCCTACGTGGTAACTCACACATGGCTTTTGCTTAACAAGGGAAAACTCAAATCAAGACACAGATCTGCTTAGACTTGACTGTTTGTTGGGGCTTTTCTGGGGGGGAGAATCAACCAATCTCAAATCTGGCGAATTTCTGAAACGCAAAGGCTCCAAACCTGAAACCAGACTTCGGATGACACGAATGCGCCTGGAGTGAGACTATCTTGAAATCGCATCCTCAACTTGGTGGCCCGGATGATAATGTGAAGGTTTTAAGAGTGTGAACATCTTAGAACAGTTGAGTATTGCAGTCATTGCCCCAGTGAGCGAAAAGGAAACCTTCTTGGGGTCAAGAGCCTTGGTTCTTTTTAAAATTCGGAGCCGCCGAGTTGGTGACGTCGTTATACTCGAGCTCGGCAAATTTTTCCAACGAAGCGTAGGAAATGCCTGAACTAACCCGGTCAGCGACTAAAATCTTGGAACTAATTACTTTTTGTCAACCCATACGAAAGCTCCTATGTTGCAGATGACTCACCTCTTATGCTGAGCTTGCTGCTGGGTGCAAAACGTTGTCAGCGAGAACGCGTGCATGCTGGCTCAAGAGGTGTTCAGCCTGGGTTTGCTTTTCTTTAGGTTGTGTGGTATTAGGGTGTGGGGTTCCAGATGGATACCTTTTCGTATGATGAGTCCATGACACGAAGAGGATATTCTTTCCATACTTCCATACACTGTCACACGTGGTTCTGCCCTGGCTCGGTGCTGCTCTGCTGCTTAGACTTGGACCTGCGTAAAATGCGTAAACTGGGCGAGCCGAATAACTGTGAACTCTGCATGAATGAAACCCAAAGTCTGGAAACTACCAGCATAAGCGCCTGCATTTTGCTCATGTACTTTAATTCTCAGCGTAAATTGATGTGAGACCTTTAGTTGACCTCACCTCTTGGGCCACTATATGCCGCATAGGTTGAACTTGCTGCAAATGAACAAGAGCTAGCGTGGCGAGGTTGCAAGTGACTGATTGGCACGAACAAGTTTTGTGAAGGACTATAATGAACCAAGCTTTTTCAAATCCACAGAAGACCATGTGGGAGACCACCTTCCATAACAACGCGTGTCAACAATGAGAAATGCTGAGGCTTCGGCATTCCTCAAATCCTGGCTGCGCTGGGGACTTCCAGAAACAAAAGCTATTCACTCTTCCATAACCAAACAGACAGCTAGCCTTGTAAGATTTGAGGGCCCGCGTGCAAGTACTGAAGAATATCCAGGTTTAATTGTTTCAAAGGATCGTTGCGATTTTGAAATGGGATCCATGATTTTTGCAAGGGTCTGAGTCATCTTGTGTTGTGTTTCATTCCGTCTTTGCCCATACAGCTCCATGCAGCACTACAGCTTTGTAGATCCAGCACATCAACCATAATGACCATAATCTGAAAATATACGCCTGAAAACATGTCTGATAGGATTGAATCGTGACGATGCTTCCATGCAAAGTTGTACGTCCTCAGCGCTGAACAGTAAAACTCCGAAACAATTCTCGAGAAAGTTGGGTCCTCGTGGTAGACAGTTCCGCGGTGGTCTAGGATGAGTAGATCCACAGGGTCCAGGCCTCTTGCAGCTGTGCTATAATTGGCTGGGCTGCGGTAGGGTGGCTATGTTTCCAGACCCAGACTGAATGGATGCTGAATCACCTAATCACGGCTGTCTATACAACTGTCTATACAACAGTCCAAGCCAGTGTTTGCTTCGGCTACGTATACAGACAACTACAAGTAGTGACTTAGGAGTTCTAAGCTCATGGCAGCCAGAAGAAAGCCAATCGCAGGCTCGGCCAACACCTGAGATGCACAAACGCGGTTTCATTTTGCCGAATGCTCTGCAAAAGGTTTCCTTTTTTAAGCGTGAGGTTCCCCGGCTCAACCCCCCAGGCTCGCCATCCTCGTAATGGTTGTCGCTTCTGGAACCTCGTGTTCTTGACGCATGTAAAACATATCCTGTCACAAGGATGGGGCACATGCAGGTTTCCATCCTTGCGGCTGTCGTATCTTTTGGACGTTCGTTTCTTCATCGCATGTCAAATGCGTCAACAATCACAGGGATCTTGCATCTGCGTAACAGTCGTCGCTGTTGGACCCTCATGTCTTCGTCGCGTGCCAAACGATGAAATATGGAGAGTGGAGCGTGAGGAGTGGAGATTGGAGTGCCAAGAGTGGACTATGGAGAGTGGACAGTGAAGCGTGGAGGGGAGCGTGGAGAGCGGAGTTGTGGAGAGTGGATGGATGGATGGCATGGAGTAGTGGAGAGTCGGGAGTGGAGAGTGCAGAATGGTGTGTTTTCATCGTGCACCAAGTGTCGTGTGTCTGCATTTGCGGTCCTATCAGGCTTTCATGTTCAGGGTTTCTAAAGTGTGCTTGACGGGTGTTTGTGGGGTGCATATGACAATCGTGTACAGGCTGTGTACCCTAGAAACCCGAACTTGGCCTTGACACATGTGGGGTTTAAGGCTTGCGGATCTGAGATTGGGGATGTAGGTTTCGTGCGCTGTTCATCCATCAGCTTGAGGCTATCGTCGTGTGTGTCCTGAATAACATTTAGCTGTGTGGTATAATCTGCTAGGAAGGTCTCAACTTCACTATTCCCAAAACAAATGTCACTAGTGTGTCTTTTGACATGATGTTTCGGCGAAAGGAACAATGATGACAACCCGATGATCACTGCAACCACAATCAGTTCTGAAAGTATTTATCCTCACCCAGCTGTTTGTCTTGCCATGTCTCCTGCTGCCTCCTCGCCCCACAGCAAGGTCCTTCAATGAACCCTAAAATTTCCTGACCAGAAACACGGCCCTGAGCTTCGCACACAAAGCAACGCGATCAGCAGCACCCGCAAGCTGAAGCACTTCATGCGCAACCTTGGAAGAATGTCGACCAATCAATCGCTATAGCCACGCAACTAAACTGAAATAGCTGTGGCGCGAGGGCAGAAACAAGATAACTAGAAGGAAGACACAGTGTGGAAACAGGAAGAAGTGCGCAGCAAACTGATGCATTTGTGGTTTGTCCGGTGTATGCTGACCAGAGAAAATGGCAAGATGGTTGCAAGGTCTGTTGTGACTCCAACAATTCAGTGATGCGATGCTGAACAACTCCACACCCGTTGCTGCTAGCATTGAAGAGTTTTACACAAATCGAAGTCGAGGAATGAAGGTGTGCTGTAAGTCTGAGTTTCCATGACTGTCAGGGCCAAGGCAAGAGCCACTGCACCAAAATCTAAGTTCTGGTTTTCGGAATTTGCGAGTACTGGGTGTTTGCAAGATTGTACCGGTACAAGTGCTGCTATATGTGCCAATCATCTGTACTGTCTTGGAAGCAACGACACCTCCATAGCCCTTGTCTTCAACGACGGAAAGCCTCAAACATCTCGAAAGAGGGAAACGGAACTAACACTACCCAGTGTTCTTCAACACCTTTCACCAAAAGTTATCGGCACAATCCCTTACAGGTCGTTAACACAGTGACCACGCGCATTCAAAGTCCAATCTGGAGACTTCTACTCACACTGAAACACGGTCCTTGACCTGTTACACATCCCACACCTTCGACTCAATAGTAAAAGGTTTTGCACACCCTGGTCGCATGACCAACGTCCTTTCCTCGTCCAACTAGTACGGCTACTGATCGCTTCGGCACGGACACCTCGTCTGCTATTCTTCTCCTAGACTGGCCATGAACTTGTTTAGCCGATTGAAAAAGCGACGGTCCTACAGGATACCAGCACGGTCAAGAAAGCGACGATTACTTGGACTTTTCTAGCTTGTCCTTCACATGGAAGCCTGCTTCGGATTCTGAGAAGACACTTCCAGCTATTGTTGTCACCCACACGAATTAAGCACGAGGCTCCGAGCAAAGCTGTCAGGAACTGCTGGGCCCCCTGCTGCAGCATTCAGTGGGTCAGACTCAATTGCTCGAACCTTCCAGGCCAGCAATGTTCTGGGTGAAGAGGGTCTTCTTGCGCTACAATGACGGCGCTTCGAGTGTGCGATTCTTTTGGCCTTACTTCAGAAACATTCTCGAAGATGAGCCCATCTAAAGATTCGCAAAGATGGCCAGAGGACCAGAGAATCAAAGGATTTGGGGACAAGAGAACCAGGGGATCAGGAGATTAGAGGACTGGGAGACCAAGGGAGCCACACCTAACCGAGCCAGGCCACACACATGGAAAAAAAAGAGAACCAGGGGATCAGGAGATGAGAGGACTGGGAGACCAAGGGAGCCACACCTTACCGAGCCAGGCCACACACATGGAAAAAAAAGCTATAAGATGAATGCAGTTTCTTGATCGATGCACTGCAAATAGCTAAACGTTAGGCGTCCTAAGGGAACAAGCAAAACATAAACCAAGTTAATGCTGTAGAATTCCATGAGGGCGGTTTCACACACATTTCTAGTCAAGCGCACACATTTTTCCCAAACCAAAGTATGCATCGACCCATGTATCATTGCTGCTTTGAAGCGGCAATTTAAGTGCTTGCGGTTCAACGGCTGGGGGGAGCTGGCATGATCCTGCACCCTCATGGCCAGAGGTGCGCTGTGGCTCACCTGCTGTTTGTAGTCACACTTGGGCGTCAGGCTTGAAAATACAGAGTGCCAACATGCAGCTGCCAACCTTCGTGCTCAGCGCTCAATATACAAAAGAACCCTGACATCATCTTCATGATTCAAACCAATACTGGGGTAGGCTAGGGGGGTGGCATGGACCTCCCGGACCTGTGCTTGGCTTAAGCTTGGCCATGATCTCTGGAAGGAAGGCGGCTCCCTCCAATAGCTGGAGTCCTAGAAAGAAGACCAACAAGAACATGGTGATATCCATACGCCATCCTCCCATCCCTCCCTGAACCACAAGAAGGACACCGAAGCCTAGCTTGGCAATTCTTACTCGAGGTGGGATCTGAGGAGAAGATATGTCCTCTTGAATGATGAAATGTCAACATTTGTTTCAAGCTGTCATCTGTCCTGCCATCTAAACCCTGCCCTGCACCCTGCATCCAACACTCGATGTCCAAAGCCGCACACGCATACATCAAATCCGTGACCCAAAGAGAGCCCGCACCTGAGAAATTTCTAGAGGCCCTAACGGGAACAAGCAAAACAAAGGAAACTATTCAATCGCTCAGAGGGCATTGAAAAATCAGTTCACTGCAAATAAAACTTCTCGACCCAGCCTCCTTTGCAAAGCTTGCCTTCCAAACAACCAGGTGACGTTTTCCCCAAATCTGCAACCAGAGAAAATCAACCTGCGACCTCAAACCCCATGCGCCAACTGGATGGACCTTCTGCCGGCTGTCCAGCTGCAAAGCCAAACGAAGCGCGGAATAGCCCACCTAAGGTTGCATCCGCAAAGAAATTATCTGGGTAACTGGCTGGAAAGCTGGAACGCCCAAAGAGCACCATTTTTCGATGGGTCTGGCCCCTCAGCACTCCTGCAAAAATCCTGAATTTTCCAGAACGCGCCGAGAATCGCTGAGAATCGGGGTGGGATCACTGTAAACCCAAAGGAATCAAAACCCTTTTCGGGGAGCCTTGGCATAGTCGAAATAACAAAAAAAGCTTTTGCGGGCACGTTTGAGGAGACTGGCGGGTGAGTTGCAGGGACGGTTCTGGAGGCCAGAAAAATCTGAACTTTCGGCCTAGCAGCTCGATTTGAAATTTTAGGAAAAGGGCGGGATTTCGTTGAAAAAATGGCGAGCATTCTAAATTCGGCCCATATCTGCAAAAAGTCCTCGAAAACGTTGAATCTATGCCAGCCCAAAATTGGCACAAGCTTGGACGGCTGAGTTCTCATGTTTCACCTACAGGCCAGGATAATGTCAGGAGGACTCGGCAGTCGATCAAACTTACTCCGCTAAAGCTACATTCGACCCCGAACCACATTGCTTTCACCGTCGAAATAACTAGGAGGACCGTAATTTGGCGTTCTTTTGTGCAAGTTTGCCGAATCAAGTTCTGGGAAATTTGATATATTGTTCATTTGAGTTTCTAATCGGTGAACAATGGCCAGCGGAATGTTTTGGCTATTTTTCTAGGAGGACACACATGGGCAAAAGAAATGTCAAAGTTTAAAATCGTGGCTAAGCTGACCAGCTTCTTGACTTTGTAAAACCAAGTTGAGCGCCAACTCAAAGTCAGCAGTGCTGGGGTCATCATTCATTCAGAGACCTGCTGTCTGTCGAGCCATGAAGCTCGCAAAGCAGCTCCCCACCTTTATTTTTCTGTAAACTGGGTAAGCAATCCGCATGCAGGGGTCCTTGAAGGAAACATTCGGCAAATAGAAGCTGCTCAAGAACGTGCTCTTGTTCCAGTTGTCGTTACAACAAAAATTGGGGCCTATAGAGGGACGGCTAGGCTGGTTCCCTTCTGGCTGAGGAGCTGGCATATGCGCCAATCTCGAGGATGCGATCACCGGGCTGAATGACCGACTGCCAATCCAAAGGGTGAAGGGTCTGAAGGGCGAGGATTAGTTTTCAGAGCTTACGATTCACATATCAAAATCCAAGGAGGGAGCTTCGGTGTTGGGGCTGCTTTTTTTTGGATTTGGGGTGATGGTTCTTGGATTGGTGCTGATGGCTGGTTTTGGCAGAAGCTTTGTTAGTACGAGTTTCCGCGCCATGCTTTCAAATTCAACATGTAAGTTGATCCCTTCGCATCTTGTGGGCATGTCGAGGCAGCTCGCTGTCAAATCTTCGAAGACAAAACTACAGTCTCAACCCCCAAAGCCAGTAAAATTGTCATTCCTGTCCTTAGATCTCCATTGTTCATAGGAACCTTCTCATCTCAAATGACTGGCCACAAACAAATGTCGCAGACGTCACCTCAAAGATGCTGGCTTTCTTCCCGCCGGCAACCTCCAAACTTGCATTTGGAGCGCTCGTGTTATAGAAATGCACCGGAGTTGGACTTGTTTTTTTTTGGATTTGATTTTTTGAATAGGGTTCAAGCTTGAATGATGAGAAGGATTAGCAACAACCGACTTGGCAACATAGGGATGCAAGTTAGGGGCTCAGTTGGAGGATGACCACCTGTCAGGGTCCCTGCAGTTGCCTAGGAGTGCTTCATGGAACCGTAGGCCGATTCGTGCCATGGAAAAGGAGCTGGGTGCACAAACGACAAATTGTGGTACCTCCTTGAAGAATTCAACGCTTTCATGCTTTCACGGAAGGTCTCAAGTTGCAACAGCTCTGGGGCTTGCCTTGGGTGTTGCAGCCTCAGGACGCTGCAGCTAACAGGAGCGGGTGCAGAATGCTTGGTCTTCCCAGCGCATGTATTTGCCTCTCCTGGAGTGAACATTCAATTCTGCTGGAATCCTCTGTTAACGGACCCAGAAGAACAGGAAGTAAGGAGAAGTGAGCAGGAAGGAGAAAGCAACAAGCCTGTACCAAGTAGCAAGTAGTGAGTAGTAAGAAGTAAGGAGTAAGAAGTAAGTAGCAAGAAGTAAGTAGTTAGGAGAAAGCAATAAGCCTGCAGTAAGTAGCAAGTAGTAAGTAGTGAGTAGTAAGTACTGAGTAGTAAGCAGTAAGTAGTAACGGGTAAAAACAACAGTTACAAGGATGGCGACGCCCAGGGGCCCTATGCCTGCGACTGTTGATGCTAGCAACATGCAACGAAAACGTGAGCGTCCAAAGCCAACAGAAATGCCTGTGACTGTTCAGAATCTCTGTTGGCAGTGCTTTCAATTGTAATCCCGCACGATCTGCCCCAACAAGCGCGTGGGGTGCTGAAGCGTCCTCTATGGTAAATGCTACTGCGAGCATGTCTAAAATCGCAAGTTGCGCGTTCTGCGAAACGGCCGATGAAGCAGGCAGAAGGCAAAAGACCATTGTTTTTCTTCTGGGCTATTCCAGGAAAATGAACCAAG